TGTTTCCATGGTCTGTTAGAGGAAGGAAGCATCAAACGTAAAATGTATTTTCTGGAAGTTCAGATACAAGTAAGATTTTATAAGGAAATTAGTTCCTTGAATTTATTTGAGGAATCCTATGAAGCTAACTTCTGTAAAATGGGGGAAATATAACATCTGTGTACAAGGAGGTGAATGGTATTAATATATTATTTTCAAGAAAAAGGAGGGTCATTTGGCCTCCTTGGCCAATGTTTCTCCTCCCTCCCAGATGGTCAGTGTGTGGCACTCCCTTCCTAAAAGCTTCCCGTGGGATCAGAAAATGCATTACTTTATACAGCACTGAAGGATGAAAGGTGCTAATGTAATTATTTTTATATTAAACCACAAACTGTTAGGATGCAAATAACTCTAAGAAGTATAAAGTGAGAACTAAACACACGCCTTTCTGGGGAAGAACAGCAATCCCAAGACGCGCCTAATTTTAGAAAAGCTATTTTCTGTTTTGCTTTTATAACTTGGTTGAATAAGGAAGCTTTATTATCTTTAAGAAATCTTCTATATTGACGGTAACATCTGGCGAGCAGGAGCATGAGATCTCAGGAATTTTAATGCAACTGTTTGTGATTCGTCCAAATGAACCCAAAGGTAAATGAGAAATTTGTGGTGAAAAACACCCAGAAATACTGAAATACGTGACTGGTGGGCTACGTGCTGATCAACTTCACATTGGCAATGCTTCTTTTTTTCAGGCGAATTTGAAAATTTTCCAGGACATTGTTGTGTAAAGGTGGACAGTTTGGAAGAACACACGGGGTCAGGTTGGGACAAGGAAAGAAGATACAGTCTGGTGGGACCCCACTGTCTTCTTTTTTTTCCCATAATGCCAAAGATTGTATTTGATGATATGTTTTGAAACACCGTAAAGTGCTTATTAAATAAAAATTCAAAGATAACTATTACTAAGCTATTTCTTATGAAATCAAATATGTGGGTGTTTACTAATAATTCATTTTAATATTATAAATGAGGTGTATGGTGTGCAAATGATGTAGAATGGGAAGCTGGGAGAAAATTGAGAGAACCCTGAAGAAAGGATGCAGGCCTTATAAAAGAAGGCAATGGCAATTGACTCAGCCAGACCTGCCTTACAGAAAAATGATAACACAGACGTGCGCTTTACACAGTGACGCCAGTCTAATGTTCTCACTTCATTTTCTATCATTTTGTCTCATATACACTGAACTCTCACTAAGTCCTTGAATTCACAGCCTGGGTTGAAATCCTGGCTCCACCGTTTACTAGCTGTGTGGCCTCAGGCAAAAACCTCATGTATCAAGACCTCAGTTTCTTCATCTGCAAAATGGATAGTAAAGTTTACTCACATAGTATAAAGTATAGTTTACTTATATACTAAATAGTCAGTGATAGCTCTTTTTATGTTTACTTTCTCTAAATAAATTCACAGTGAGAAAAATGTCTAATGAAGCAACCAGCCGTGGATCAGTTTACTCGACAGACGTCAGAAAACTGAACATCTCATCAGAAGTCTGTTCAAATGTCCATAAAACTGTCACAAAGAAGCGCCCTGTATTTTATAATGCTGGGATATGTGGCAAGTGAAAATGAGGAAGAAATTTCAAAGCATCAGAGATTTTACTTTTTATTATATTATGTTGTTTCACATATAAACATATTGATGGATTCCCATAGTTACCTTCTATAGATTTTTCAAGTTGTTACACCATATGATATATTGGTTCTACTATATGTTATGATTCATTGATTTAATATTGTCTTTGGGATCACACCCATGGAGAGTTAGTCATCAAGTCCAGTACAATATTGTTTCTGTGGGAAAACCAAATAACTTAAATCATTTGGTCGTGAGGTCAGAGTGTGGGAGCCCAAAATGGGCATCAGGAAGCCAGCTGACACTGTTGAAGTCTAGGTTAAAGAAAGGTCAGAGGAGAAGATGCCCAGCTAAGAAGCAGTTAGAAATGCTCCTGAGTTTAGCATGGGGTTGAAATCAAAGGAATTGTTTCAATGATCTCCATAGATTCTTGCAGAAACAACGCATATAGCTTGGTAGAGACTAGATCCATAAAGAGACAAAACAAAAAACTGCTCTTAAATTGGAGATAATGGCAAAAGCAGTGGTCTTTACTGGTTTATATGCACAAGTATTATTATGGCATTGTAGCCTGCATAAGAACGAGGAGGAAATAACTAAACACAAAAAGATCCAGAAGAGAAACCCGATATTGTGATTTTTACTGACATCTGTGACGTGGGGAAAGTATTCAGGTGTCATTCAGCCTGGAAGCTATTATCTCTCTACCAAAATCTAGATGATCTAGAGACCCCTCCTACTGCTCCAAATAGGAGAGACCCTTCCCAGGTAGGAAGCAACTGCCCTAGGCATTTTGCCAAGAATCTACTAGAGATGCCCGAGCTTCCTAAGCTGCCAGTCTTATGCAAACCTGGCGCAGTAAATTAGGAAGAGCAGACGTTCAGGCTATAAAAATCCACTAGATGAAGGTTTGTGCTTAAAATCAAAGTTCTGAACAATTGCAGTGAGAGACACTGAGGAGTCTCTGAAGTTAGACTGGAACAAAGTGCCGTCTTGTTTGGGACTATTCCGGGCGAGGGAGGGAAGTAATGAAGATCCGCCAGGGACAGAGAGCCAGAGAAAGAGCAGGACGTGGATGGAAGCACTTCCCTAAGTTATAGCACACCAAGGAAATTGCCAGCTCCTCAGTGAGGAGGCACGTGAGCTAATGCCACAAACTCTCATGTATTATTTGTAATTAGGAGCTTGTTTTTATGCATGGAATGTATGTGTACGTATCAGCTCAAATGTCAATTCCTGCCGAGTCTTATTGATCAGAAGAACTGCCTGAAGCACTGGGTTGATAAGGAATGCAAGTCTGAGGCTAGACTCAAAAACTAATATTGCCCTCTGCTTTGGAGATAGAGGGAGTCATGCCCTGGATGCAGAGGAGAAGATTAGCCGCCTCGATGACAACACTTAAGGCCTTAACTGGTGAGTAAATTATATACGGTTTTTGCTAATATGTATAGTCATTCTCAGTGAACCTTTTTTTCTCATTATAAAGCTCTAAGTCCAAGGGACCCTTTAAGATATTGTTTAAGGTTGTTATCTGAGATAGGTAAATGCTTGAAAACAGCTACTGTCAAAATGCTAGGTCCAAGAAAGTGCACGGATGATAAGCAACAGCCCTTACAGCTTGTGCCAAACAAGACCAGCTTCTGAGTGTGCCACTAGTTGGGGGAGAAAATCATTGTCTGGCTCACACTGACTTCTGCAGGGGTTAAGAGGACAGTATTACCGAGCGGAGCAGCGAATTAAAGCCGTCTGTGAAATATGAACAAAAGAAATGGAATAAATACCTTCCTGGAAGGCTGAGTCGTGGCCGACATCTCTTTTGGATTCAGAGCTTGCTTCAAAAACCAAGGAATGCCTGAATGCACTTCATTTGAGCAGACAAATGAGTTCGTAAGTTAAAGATAAGAAGGAAGAGAAGTTATGCACAGCCAAGATGGGCAGACAGATTGAGGGCTGTGTACAAAAGGAGAGCATCACCCAAAGAGAAGCAACAAACCAACGAAAGCTCTGGACTCTATTCTAACCAGCTGCCTTGCTTTGGGGCTGTACCCTCCTTGCTGGGGGCCAGTTTGGAAATTTAACCAAATTTCTGATCTTCATCTTTATTTTCTAAGCGGAATAAGACACATTTTAAGAACCTGAGCATTCATTCTGTTTAACTGACACTGAGTAACATTAAATACACAACCACATTACTAATAGCAGAAATTGGATGTCACCAAGTGCCAGGTATCTCACTCAGTGTGTTCCCTGTGTTCTTACATAAAATACGCACAATATAAGAATAACAATATTAAACACGCAGAGTGCTTGATACATACCAGGCACTGTTTCCAGCCCTTTACATAAATTAATTTATTTAATGTTTACAGCAGCCCGATAAGGTAGATACTTAGATTCATGATGAAGAAACTGAAGTCCAGGGGCTAGGGAACTTGCCCAAGGCCACCGACAACTAGTGGGTGGCAGAACTAGGATAGGAATCCAGATGATCTTATGAAGTGGGCACACTAAACACTGTCGTGTGGAAGAAGAGGGAGTGGAGACACAGAGAGGTGAGCTCGCCAGCTCAAGGTCACAGAGCTAGACCTGACTCAGAGTCAGGATTCGAACCAGGTCTGTCTGACTTCAAAGACTGAGCTCCCAGCTGCTTTCCTACACTGCCGTAGGTTGGGCCAGAAAAAGTGTTTTTCTTTTGTTAACATTTACTGTATGAGGCTGTACTACACTGCCTTAAGAATTTGAAGAAATCCGGTTATTACATAACTGGCAAGTGTTCAACTTTCAGAGAATGCCAAGGCCTCCCTGGGAAAAAAGTCTGAATTCTCAGATTTTACTTCTAAAATCAGTGGTGCTCTCTTCTGTTTCAGAAGAGATTGCATGGGCTTATGCCCATGTTCATATCACCGAGAGGAAATAAGACAGGTTTCTAAGAAACCTCTGACTACATGCCCTGGATTACCTGATTCAAAGGCATTATCAACACAGCGGATTTAAAGATCTGGGACTCGTGTCTTAGGCTTGTGGAAGCTGTCCAGCTCAGGCTTCCTCTTTCACACCACCCACTCGGAGAGCTGTGCTAAGCTGGGGGAGTGTGTGTGAATGTCGCAGCAGAAATGTGACTCTGAACGCATTCCAAAACCAAACACAAATGCTTTTGGATCACCCATGGCTTCATTTTCCTCACACCTCTCCGCTCATGCATAAAAGGGACTAAAAGGGAATGATGGTAGAAGTACATTTATTCACACGTTTATTTTTCTGAGAAACCCAAATTCCATGACATCTCAACAGCAGATCAAGAACATGACATTTCCTATGGCAGCAAACTCAGAAGAAATTCAAATCGGAAAACAGGATGCTATGAAGAACATAAATTTAAGAGCCATACCTTGAAGTGAAAGCCAGTCTCCAGCCTTGTTTTGTTGATAAAATCATATTCTGGTATTCTCCAACCAATTTCACCAACATACTCATGTTTATATCTCGCTGAGAAGCTTTTGTCAGAGGCAGGCCTCCATAAATATCTGAGATCTCCAGTTTTTTCTAATGCCGGACGTTTTTCTCCTATATAGGAAGTGTCCCGGTGAACTTTAGGTAGATGATCCTTTTTATAATCTGGGCCTTAAAAAGACAGAAAAAAATACTTCAAAAAAGTCTCCACATTTTATTCTAAGATGCTTTTCTTATTTTAAACAGTGGAAATAATAATAACTAATGATTATATGGCATTTGCTATGTTCTAGGTGCTGTTATAAGCCTTTTAGATATGTTAATTCAATTAATTCTTATAATAACCAAATGAGATAGGTAGTAGTAGTTCCCCCAGTTTATAAGTGGGGAAAATGAGGCAGAGAAAGATTGGTTACTTGTCTACAGTCACAGCTAACAAGCTCTTTATTCCCTGATGGGCTGCCTCACAAGGTGGGCTCTCAATTGCCCCACTACACCGCTCTCTTTATAACCAACTTAATACAGACATGTTTTATACATAAAAAATCCTCACTCATGACACATTTGCAGAATGTAGGCCTTCAGACAGTGCGGTGTTTTATCTAGGTAGACAAAATCTGAAAAGAGAATTAGAAAATTCCCCAAATGTATCAGAAGCATTTGGAAAATGGAGAAGACTGTCAGAGGAAAAGGATAGCTTGTAACAGATGATGAGCCAAGGCAGGGGTATTTAATAAATTTTGGTATTTTAAATGTAAGACAACGAACAAAAAGGAATCAGTGAATTGTGGAAGTGAGTAAAACGAGCAAAAATAAGAGGTGGTCTGGGAAAAGATCACTTAAATAAAGGTATTGAAAGTTGCTGATGTGAAGGCATAAAGGGGAGCTAAGATTTGCAGGAATAATGGTACAGATCAAAAACAGACCATGAACTGCTGGCCCAGGAAGACTTTCAGAAATCCAAGAGCCCAAATGGGAAATGGGTGCAGGATTATACGGGCAGATTGGGGACATAAAGAAGGAGCTTCATTCCTATTACCAAAAGTTGACCAAAGACCCTGGAGGCAGAAGCTGTGCTGTGGTCATGATGTCACCTGGCCCCTCCTGGCTCTGTGGCTCCTTTCCTTTTGCTCTTGGATCAGGGAGCTCAGTATTTGCAGAGAACACAGGTGACCAGGGCTTTGACCTGCTCCTCTGATGCAATGGTCAATGTGATAACAAGTCTGTGCTTAGAGGAGTAATCTAAGCTTCCCAAGGAAGTTTAAAAAGCAAGAAATCGCTCTTCAGACACATGATTTTGGCAGATGTTTTCACAGCTTCCTAATCACCTTCGCTACCCACGATGTGTTGCGTATTCACTGCAGCTAATTCCCTGGATGGATATATTGTAGCTTCAGTTTTATTTGCTTCCGGTTTTCACTCAGGTAGAACTACTTTGGTAAAGCATAGAACGGCCAGAGCATGGAAAACTGTTTTCTTTCTCAATGTGACAGGTGTTGAGGTCTCACCTATAAAACTCCTGTCATAGGGAAATTTTTGCAATCTCCCCTAAACAGGATGAAATACAGAAGAACTGTGTTAGTCTTGCTGGAATTTCAGTATATGTTCAGGCCAGTGTTTTCCCAAATGTTTCATCAAATGCTGCCGCCATGAGTGCACCCTGAGATGTATGTGTGTGAGGGTGGGGTGCTCCAGAGTCAAGTACGTTTGGGATCACTGCTTGCTACATTCGTCTTCTAGATATTCATGGCGAACGAAAAGCATATTAAAAAGTGCTGAGAAATCCTATGGTAAATAAACCTGTTTACAATTATGTAACCCAGCTTTCCCAAACTTATCTAAACATGGATCTATTTTTCCCACTGGGTCACATAAACACATCCTACAGACACCAACAGATGTGGGGAAATATTGATCGTCTGTGGAATGTTTCAATCATCGTTAAAATTTTGTTGTCACTACGTACTACCATAACCATCAGAGCAGATACATATCTGTAGTTAGTTTCTTAGTCACTCTGTGGCCTGCAATAAATTTTTTAAAAAGCCATTACTTGACAGCTGAGTCAAAAGCACTTAGTTTTAGACAGTGTAGTGGAAAGTGCACGTGTTCTGAAAACCAAGAATGTGTGTTTGGTGGGGGCAGGGGGTGGTGGTATGTGTGCTCTAACAGAGATTCTCTCTGGCTTAAGTCACTGGACTTTTCTTAACCCCCATCTCCTCATCTGCGCTTTAGAAATAGTGTGATGCAATGTGCATGGCACAGGAGATTCCTGGGGAGACCCTGCCCTGGCCACACAGCTGACGTAGGCACCTGTCTATGAAGCAGAGACAGCGGGATGTCATAGTCCAAGGTGGGCCCCACGTTCACAGCAGATATCCTATAGCCAGCCCAGTGCTTACCTAACCAAAACGTCTCCATATCACTACCCAACCAGCAACACACAGAAATGTGGTTTCCCTAAGGAGACAGTACCATGGGTGTTTGATTCTATATAACTCATTTTTCCTCTCCCAAACCTCGTCCTCCAGAGTCCTAGACTCTATGCTGGATCTGATTCCCTGCTTAAAAGTAAAACTTCCAGTCCGCATCCAATCTACAGTCTCTTTATTTTTCCTTTAACAATTAATATCTCTGTTCAACTGCTGCATCCCTTAGGGGTTTTATTTCATCCTACGAAAAGTTTTCTTTGATCATTCATCCTTCCCCAAAACTCCAGCCCTCATTTGCCGACAATGAAGTGGGCAGCTCCTGTGTTACCAAACCCTCACTTGCCCATCTTCTTTGGAGTTCTCTTTCATATCTGAAGACCAGCTCTAGTGGGATGACTCCCAGCTGTAATGCCTATTCAGAGATGCCCAGTATTGGTCAATCAGCCCCAACTCTCCCTCTATTGTGATAGTCACCTTATGATGCAGGAAGAAGATGTACTTCCACTAAAACCTGCACAGGGGGCCGGCCCAGTGGCATAGTGGTTAAGTCCACGCATGTTGCTTCGGCAGCCCGGGGTTTGCAGGTTTGGATCCCGGGTGCAGACCTAGCACTGCTTGTGAAGCCACACTGTGGCAGCATCCCACACAAAATACAGGAAGATTGGCACAGATGTTAGCTCAGCGACAATATTCCTCAGAAAAAACAAAAACCTGTACTAGGATTCATGATTCCACATTTCTCCATCTTCCTGCCCTGGAGAAACTGTGATTTCAAGGATCCCACTTACCCTCTCCCCTATACACATGCCCAACATTACTTGCTCATTTGTGTCTGTAATTCTAAAGTGACAGTTAAAGATGTGGTTTTGAAGCTAAACTACTATAGGTTCAAATCCTGGCTTTGTCTTGTGCTGGCTTCGTGATCCAGGGAAAGTTATTCAGCTTCTGAGTTTTAGGTGCCTCCTCTATAAAATGAGAATAGAGATGTCTGTTTTGCAACTTTGTTGGAAGGAGAGGAGATAATCAATTTTATTTAAAGAAGTGCTTAAGTGCATTATTCACAATAGCCAAGACTTGGAAAAAACCGAAGTGCCCATCAAGGGACGAATGGATAAAGAAGATGTGGTATATACACAATGGAATACCACTCAGTTATAAAAAAGATGAAATCTTGCCATTTGCGATAACGTGGGTGGAACTTGAGGGTATTATGCTAAGCAAAATAAGTCAGAGAAAGTCAAATACTGTATGATCTCACCCATGAAAAGAAGATAAATACGACGACGAACGAACACACACGTGCAGATTGGATTGGTGGTTACTAGAGGGGAAGTGGGGAGGGAGCAGGGTGAAAGGGATGACTGGGCACATGTGTGGTGATGCATGGTGATTAGTCTTTGGGTGGTGAACATGGCGTAGTCTTCAGAGAAATCGAACTATAATGCTGTAAATCTGAAATTTATATAGTGTTATATACTAATGTTACTTCAATAAAATATTGCCAGAAAAGAATAAGAAACTTAGTTGAAAGAGAAAAAATAAAATTAAATAAAATTAAGTTCACCTATTTTTACATTAAAATATATATTTTTTTTCTTTAAAAAAAAGAAATGCTTAGCTGAGAATCTGGCACATAATATACAACTAATATTATTCTTAGTGTCTTTTCCTCCTTTCACTTTGTTTTTTGTTTTAATTTGATGCTTTGTCTTACCTATTACGTTTTTTAAAGTATATTTTAGAAACTTTCACCGATGAACTATTTATTCCTCATTATGAATAAACTTCAAATCCTTTCCTGAGAGCTCTGCTATATCAGGGGTTGGTAAACTTTTCCCATAAAGAACCAGAGAATAAATACAAAAGTATTTTTGGGCCATATAATCTCTCTTTGAACTGCTCAACTCTGCCACGGTAGGGCAAAAGCAGCCATTGACAATTTGGAAACAAACAGCCATGGCTGTGTTCCAGTGAAGCTTTATTTATGGACCTGGCCACTGAAACTGTAATTTCATGTAATTTCCTTGTGTTACAAAATACTATTCTTTTGCTTTTCCCCCAAACCATTTGAAAATGTAAAAACTATTCTTTGCTCACAAGTCTGACAAAAACAGGTGGCAGGACCAAGGGGATGCAGGAGCCACAGTTTGCCAACCTCTCCTCTAAGTGGACACTGAGGAAGCAGATGCCACAGAAGCTGGAAAGGACACAGACAGGAGAGTCTGGGATGTTTCCCAACACATCTCATCTGTTGCCAACACTCAAAAAAGATCCAGCTATGGCATGTGTCCACAGAAAAAGAGAAAATTTCATCTCTGAGGCAACTGTCTGTTTCTGATCTCTTCTCTGCACTTCCATTGTTTCATTTCATTCATTCATTCATTCATTCTTTCACTGACTTATTTCTTCGTCTATTCAACAAACATTGATTGAACTATATGTCAGGCACTGTTCTGAGTGCTGGGCACGTAACAGGGAATAACGCAGAGAGCTTGCCTTCATGGAGCTTATGTTTTAGTTGAAGGGCGGGTGACACAAGTAAACAGCCCTTCATTATCCTTCATCTGGATTGTCCCCATAACCTCCTACCTAGTCTTGGCTCTAGTTTCTCTCCTTTCCAATCCATTCTCCACTGCTGCCAGGAGTGATCTAAAACTCAGATAAAATAAAATATCAGCTCTTCTAAAAACATGAGATGGTTTTCTCCAGCGCCAATAAATTTTTTCATCCAGATTTCTT